TCAGCCCTGGACGACGAAGCTACCGGCGCATAAACAGCCAAAAGGAATAACTTCGTCAGTCCCAGTTTAAAGCGAACCCAGAGAAGTCTTGAGTTCACAACCTTGTATTCAGTCATAAGATCGACCAACCGGGACGACAACAGCACCCCCACTCCCTGGCAGGCGTTCTCGCTTTCCGGGACTCCGGACCATATAGCTAACGTCCCGCCAGGGAGCTCTTCAGTACCACTGCCTTTCCGTTTGGTCTCCGACATACACACGACATCTAATTCTCTTTCTTTCATTATTTCGATCAACTCATTCGTCTTATCTCTCATGCCCCCTCTAACATTCCACGTACCAACTCTGCGCTCCGTCCTCCACAGCGTCTATGTTCTGTCGCTTATTACATTTTTGTATTGACTAATGCGCGTGTTACTCTCGCGGTCTTCTTAGGCCGCGTGCGGCGGTCGCCGCTTGTTCCTCCACGCTTCGTCCCGCCTCGCCGCGGTCATGTCCGCCTTAACAAATTTAACAAATGACATACGCAGTTAGTAATTGTCCAACACTAAAACAAGACTACTTAAGAAGTAAAGCACAATGTACGTATACGGCGTAATTGTGTGTAACAGGTGCCAGTGGGCTTTCGGCCACACCACCCTAGCCCGGTTTTAAAACGTGATAGCAGCAGTCTGTGATAGCACCCATGTCCGTTTAGTGTTCAAATTTTTTGTGATACGTAGTGCCAAAAATTGTGAATAAAAAATGAATAGGAAAATATGAAAAAAAAATACTCTCTCTCGTCTTTAAATTAACATAAAAAACTTATGCACAATTTTTTATATTCGATAACGTTCGGATTAGAATAAAAGAAAATTTGAAGTTTGGCACCCCTATTCTTGCACTATTATTGGTCATAATAGAATAACACTTTATTTTGACGATAAATTTTCTACATACGGTATTAGAAAAAATAAAGACGTGAAGATATTTGTTTGTTATCCCTCTTGAATAAAATTGGTCTGGTAAGAAAATTCTTTTGGTGACACATAAGAATATATTCGAGAGTCAACTTTATTTTCATTTTATTTTAAATATAAACTGGGTTGTTACCATTGCATTGCACCAAGAGTTAATACGAGATATTTTTGTACCTTATATGTGATGGTGGTGGGCATTATGAGAACACCTTTATAATAAATGTATAGCCTCAAGTAATGGCGGGTTACTGTACGAAATTATTCGCACTCGGCGATGAACACACAAAAAAAACACACACACACACACACACACACACACACACACACACACACACACACACACGAACTTGCGTGAATTTGCATGTAATTCGAACTTGAGATTGCATCTACGTCGCTAAAAATGTTTGACTGATTCTGCTGTATTTAGCATACTGCAAATACAAATAATACTACGTTTTGCTCGTGTTCAGATAATGCTTTGTAGTTTATCTGTACTTATTAAATCATGAATATGGAAAATCATAGTGTCAACAGATCGTAAAGATAATTATATTTGTAACTTATAAATATATGTCAATGTTTGTTTAATATCATCAAAGAGTATATAAAATATCTACGTTACTGATAAGATGGAGAGACAAAACTAACGCCGGTATTCATAGACAATCTCGAAGTTTGAACTCTTAACTTGCCTAGCGGTCTACGTCAAGGAATATACTACCATTCTACAGAGAGGTCTAGATCGTACTATGTTACATAATATTTGTAAATAATTTATTATCTTACCTAAACTCGAAAAGCTCTAGACTCCAATTTGACTTTGAACTCGATATTGTCTGACTACCGATCTAAAAGAGCACCTATATTAAATGGGTAATATAATTACTACACTACCTTAACAACAAAATTATTTTGAAAAAATATGAAGTTCGCCAATACGCACTGGAACAACGCGACAGGTCGTATAATGTAGGTATACCGTATAAGATATATCGTATAATGGGGTCATATAATATATGATATAATTTATGTAACCAAATTAAAATGTTGGTAATGATGACTAGGTTATTTCGTTATTATGAATGAACTTGTTTGCCATATTAGACGAATTGGTGGTTTTCACATATTTCCTGACGATGGTTAATTTACATAAAATTATATTTCAGTCATAGTAAATAATGAACGATAAACCGGCACTGTTTACATTGATTTCAAAAGGAAGGATAGGCCCATCTAAACATTTTTTTCATAGCTTATTCATAGAAGAAAAAGAAGCGCATCTGTCATAATACAAACGTCATATCACAACACGACGTAACCAGAGTCGGATTTTGTACCATCATTTCATAGTTTGTAGTATATATTATCGTAATAATACTAAGCGAAAATACCATAATTTTACCTAAAGATCGACTTGTATTATTATTGGGTCCTTTTACTTTTTAATATTAACCCTACGATATCGAGAATTTCTGTACGAGGGAGGCACTGAAAATTTCGGGAATCAAGGAAGTGACACAACATTACTATTTAAAAATTTATTTATTGCTTTTTGAAGTATTCTCCGCAAAATTTGACACATTTTTCCATACGATGGAACCTATCATTGAAGCAACCATTCCATTCGAAAGTTGGGCTCTCCAAAATGGCCGTTTTGAGGGCGTCCACAGCTTCTTCAGGTGATGAAAATCTCTGTCCACGCAATTTATTCTTTATTTTAGGGTAAGTATAGAAATCATTAGGGCTTAGGTCAGGGCTGTACGGCGGATAGTCTAATAATTCTATGTTTTCTTGCTCTAAAAACTCTTTTGTTCTGTTTGCGGTGTGAAAACACGCATTGTCGTGATGGAGGATGATGCGGCGGTTGCAGTTTTCTTTACGGAGTTCAGAAACGACTTGTGGCAAACAAATGCTAGCATACCATTCTGCATTAACCGTTCTTTGTCCATCAAGAGGAATAGTCGTAACATGGCCGGTTTTGGAGACAAACGTGGCCACCATTTTTTTTGCAACACTCCGTGAACGAACAATTTTTGTTGGCTTCAACTTATTTTCGAACACCCAAACTCGTGACTGGTTTTTTGTTTCGGGTTCGTACGCATATATCCAGGATTCGTCACCTGATACGATGTTGTATACAGCATTTGAGGATCCTGCGTGGAATCTTTCGAGAGTTCTGACGCACCAAGTAACGCGAGCCGCTTTTTTGCTCTTCACAGAGCGAATGCGGTATCCATCGGGAAACAACTTTTTTACACCTAATTGCTAATGCAAGATTTTGTATTTGACTCATGCTAATGTCTAAAGTTGCCTGAATTTCGCGGTATGTCACATGTCGATCTTCCTCAATCAGCTTACGCACAGCATCAACGTTATCTTGGGTGACTGAGCTTGACACGTCCATGTTGAAATTCAGCAAACCAGCGATAAATTGTGGTTTTGGATGGGGCTTCATCACCAAATGCGGAAATCATCCGGTCAACACAGTGTTTTTGTGTTAAACCACTTCGAAAGTCATAATAAATCATCGCTCTTGAATTTTCTCGAGTCAATTCAATTTTCTCAACGACTAAACAAATTTGACAAAACCTTGTGACAAGACCGAGAATCTTTTTTTAAATAAATAAGTGGTATTCGATTTTTAAAACCAAGGAGTTTTCAATTAAAAAAGATGTTAATATGACAGTAACAGTGGAAATATTCCATTCCCGATACTTTTAGTGCAGCCTAGATATTGTACATGAGTACCGCGTTTTTTTAATAAAATTAGAATTAGTTCCCTTTATGGTCAATCGGTGCTCGATCGATGCATTTATGTTACATCCTTTATACAACTATAATGAGGGGTACTACCACAATAAAAACTCTATGCTCCAAAAGCAATCGGTTTGAAAACAGAATTTCAATATATTTTATAAATCAGATTTTCAGATTCAATTAAGCAAATATTTGTACTCTTTTCATTTTACCCTTATTGAATATAAAATATATTAGGTACCAATTATTAATTTTTCAATTAAATATTCAATATTTAACTTACACTAAGTTTTTTAGACAAAAATAAAACAGAAATAAAAATAAAACCGTCAAAAAACGAAACGTATAGATAAACCAGACGCGTGACGCCAAAATCCCGGCACATGGGAAAAAAGAAACATGAAACGTCAAACGTGATTATAATTTTTTTAAATAGTATAATTTTATTTTCCATGTACAATATTTTTGAGGGTCTGAATCCAACCCTGGTCTAATCTTGGTAAAGTAATTAAACTAACCATAAAATAAAACTTTAAAAATGCGTTTATATAATAATTTAATTGTAACAAAATTAATATAAGGTTATTAACCGATGATAATGCGATATATTTTTGGTTTGATTAGTTTGTTCTAAACGTGTGTTTAATCACAAATTAAAGAGAATCTAGTAGAGGTTTAGAAGAAACTATTCGAATAATTTCAACATGTAAAATACAATATAAATTTTACGAACATAAAGTACATAATAAATTAATAATAAATAATTAAGTGAACAATTTATGAAATAAGATTAAATTCAAATTGTATTGTATGTAAAAATATAATTTAACCTTCGGATCTTGTAAAAAGTAAAATATAATCAAAACTGAAATGTTACAGTAACCTCATACTGCCACAGAATAAATAATAGTGATACTGCTTAGATCGGAGCATGATTGAAAAAAGGTGAAGGTATCCTAGGTTAATTATGATATCAGAACATTTAATATCTATGCTTCCTGTTACTATGGGTGCTACAAAGCCCTCGAAACATCTGAAATTAATATTTCAAAGAATTGCACACGTTTCGATATCAATGGAAATTAGTTAAATAATATACAGTAAAATCTGTAGTAAGTTATATTTAAGGAAGATAAGGACCTAGGACTAGTCTTTTTTAAAATCAGAAAATACAACTTTTAATAAAAGTAAATAAGGTATATAGTAGTATAAGTAAATAGGTATATATAGAATAAGGTTTAATATTTATTATGATAGCAGTTGAATTAAGTTTGTTTATCCTAGGGAGAAATTGAAACTCAAGGCACCTTTAAAGAAGTATCCGGCTCACCGTTATTCAAAGAACTGCTAGAAGAAAATGAACAAACTGAAGTTGAAGATGATGACACCGCGAAGGGGCGCACAACACTTATCCGACAGCGGAGTACGTCCATAAAGGTATAACTAAACTCGTATCTTCTTTATATCTCATTATGATTTAACTTTGTCTAAAATAATGACCATCGATTGATTTACTTTTATGATTCACAAATGCGAGAAAAATGTGTATACACAATAATAAAATACACATTGAAATATTATAATAGAGTATGCTAGAAAATGATGTAACTACGGACGGTTTACGTAGTTTTAAAACAAGAGTAGAAATCTTCAACCGTACACATAATTCCACATAAAATCACGTATACATTTATATAGTACGAGTAGAATAGAACCTACGTTCTTTAAAATAAATTGCTATAAAATTTAATATAATAATATTCAAATCTTATGCTTATTTTGTATTATAATTATTTATAAAAAAGATTAAATATGATTGATTGCAAATATACAAAATAAAAGCAATGTAATCAAACAATTTTCGACCACAGCTTTGACCTCACGGTAGAACAGTACGCAGAGCGTCTCAATGTATGTACGTAATTAGTAACTCTGGAAACAGAAAAAAATTAGTTTGTATTTTTTTGGCCAACTAAAGCCAACAAAAAATAAATCTGTACACATTTATCGGATTCGAGTTATAGATGATTCGAGGCATAGATGAAGCTAGCTAGTGGACTTTTAAGAGGTGATCTCTCTGGTTTTTAAGGATGATCTCTCCTGCGAAATTGCTAATTATGTTGCTCGTGCAAGTAATATACGTGCACGTAAATACATTTTAATTCGATATTATTAAATTATTTATAAATACATTTGTACATAAAATCATAGAATACTATATTTAATTAAATTGTACACCGGCTACTACTATCCGCACGGCATACGTGTCTCCAGTGTCTTTTCTAAACCGAAATATGAATAAAGTAGTAAAGCTCAGTGGCGAAGCCTCCATAGAAGCCAAAAGCCGAACTTGCCTAATCAAACTGAATCAATCAATAATATCAATCAATAATATCAACTAATAAAATAACTCGTAAACTGTTTCAAACTATTTCAAATTTCCCGCGCACTACACTGTTCGACACAGGTCGACCGATGACCTCGTTTTGCCTTAACGATACTGCTGCTGTCATAAAAAATGAGTTTTAATACAGCGATTAGTTGTCTCTTTCGTTTGCGTGGGCTTTTTACGGGGCTTTCGAGAAGGCGATCGCTCTCTTTCTATTCTATGGCAAAATATGCTATAATGAAATATAACTAAGATTGTATATATAGCAATTAGTGTAGAGATTTAAAGCCAGGCTTTAGGAATGAAGTTGTCAAAAGCGGAGGCACGCGGGCAATACGCTTGCAAGTTCATTTCACATTTCAATGTTTATTTACTTTGTGTGTTTAGCACCGATTTAATATAGCGAGTTGAATATTTATGCTTTTTAAAAGATTTTTAGAGAAAATGGAGGATAATAGTGTTCCTTGTGATGAATTGAAGTGTGTTAAAGTGCTAATCGTAGAGGAAAGGGTAAAATCTTTAAATTTTTTTGAGATAATACACAAGGGCAAGATTGCATTTCAGACTTATCAATTATCGCAATTAAAAAACAGTTATTGGTACAGTAAAAAAATTCACCAATATTTTACGTGGACGTAATTAAATCTTTCCTTAAGAAAGAGGGACGATTCCATTTACTCGTAGAATGTAAACCGTAACCGTGTAATCAAAGCTATGCAATTGCTGATATGTAATAGAATCTGTCTAGCAGTAGTATGCCGTCTGTGTGCTTTGTTAAACACGTCCTTGACAGTACTGAATATGAAACTGAATAGTAGAGACAGATCAAGATTTGTGTATTTTTATAAAACTGCTAAAAACAACAATCTATATTTTTATCAATTAATATCTTGGGCTTGCCCTAGTTTGGAGCTCTAGCTTCGCCACTGGTAAAGCTTACAGTGAGCGAGCTCTTACACAATTTTTTTGTCGAGCAAGCTGCTTTGGCTATCCATTATTTGTCTATAAAATGCGTCGAAGCGAAAAAAATGGTGTCTGATAAATGTAAACAGCATTTTTCTTACGGCTACGGATTTTTATTACGGCCTTTTCACCGTAATTTACGGTGAAAAGGCCGTATAATGACTTCCTCTTTAGTTTATGTGTTTGATATTTAATAATTTTTTTAGTTATAGGAATAAAGATAATATTTATTTATTTTTATTTATTTGATATTTTTTATTACAAACCCTACAAAAATTACATATATATACAAAAAAGTATGCAATAGGCGGTCTTATTGCTGACAACAATTTCTTCTAGACAACCAATGAGTGGACAGGATTACACGAAGATGTCAGGGGTAGGGTATTAAAAGAATAAAATATAAAAAGAATACATAAACTATAATTAGTAAAAAATGCAAAAAGTAAAGGAGATAAAATGCCTCCCTGCGGTACATCAACACATACGTTAAACTATGATGATCTATCCTTGATGCGTATACGTTGCTGGGGTCCAGACAAGTAATTCCGAAAACCAACTAATCGCTGTTGAAGATACGTTAAGAGAGCGCATTATACCAAGTAAGACATCATGGTCAACGGTATTAAAGGCATCACTAAAATCTAATAAACAAAGAACAGTCACTTCACCGTGTTCCATTCCTAATCGGATATCATCGGTGATGTTAACTAAAGGTGTGGTAGTATGTCCAGGTCGAAATCCTGACTGCAAAGGATTACGGAGAGAATTTGCACAAAGAAAACTTTTGAACTGGATGTAAACAAGGCGTTCAAGGACTTTTGATAAAAAGAGCAATAAAGAGATAGGACGATATTCAAAATAGGACGTAGGATTACTTTTCTTTGGGATAGGAATAATTTTAGTATTTTTTCGAGATGGAAAATTATTTGTAGAAATGGAGAAAAAAAGATTTAAGGATATGACAAATAATAGGAATAATAATAGAAAGAATAGTAAGAATCTTGTTACGACTGACACAGTCACTTCCCACTGCATTGGAAGTAATAGGTAAAACGCTCTTCTGAACGTAACAAGCCGCGAATGATTTAAAAACTTAAGGGGAGTGATTGGGACTAGGAGTAGTTTTCCCTTTTACTACACCCACAGCATGATATGGGGTAGTAGATATTCTTACACCGCCACTTCACGGTAAATATAATAAATAGCACAGGTATGTTAATTCCTAAAATAGCCTGTAGACTCTTTGTGTCACAAACGGAGGCTTGGAAATAAATAAAATATTCGTAACAAGTTTTTTATACTGACAAAATAACAGCAGTTTGAAGATGAACTTTCTATTGTATTAATACTTTAATATTTATTTAAATTTTTTTTTGCAGTCGCGCACCAGTGTTAATAGTACGGTTACAGAATATGGGAATGAAAATGAGGAAGAACCCGAAGAAACCGCTGAGCTCATGGAAAAAGGTAGATACCAAAGCAATGACAGATAAACGTATTACAAGATACCGTTAAGGTTTCAGAATATTTGACAGAATTGTCTACGTTGTTGACACTTTAAATATTTCACGTGTAATCACTGAATTATTTTAGTAAATTTTGTTTTTGTACAACAATTATTTACATAATCCGACATTCTGTCTCCTCCAGTAGATAAGATAAAACTCCAAAACGAAAGGACAATTGCTAAAGTTATATCCATATGTTTTTAATTTAAATGAACATTATCAACGGTTTTGAAAATATAGCTTATAGAAGGCGGTTGTAGTTTTTTGTCCTTTTCTGTGCTCAACAACTTTTGCTGTTTTTTTTCAAAACAGATTTATTGCTAGTTACATCACCACCATACCGTTTCAGCTTACAAAAATTCTAGGGACACATTTATATACTGAGATGGTTTTTCTTATCTTTGTAATAAATTGGTCTTCTACAGAGTAGTTGATCCCTGACTATTTTAAAATAATCGCGTCTATGGGGATCTAAATACGAGTACAGCCGACTCTCGTTAATTCTAAACTCGAGGGATTCTTAAAATATTACGAATTTTCGAGTGTTTGAAATATCAAAAGGTTCGAAATTTTTGAGAGAAAATAAATAAAACTTCGAATTATTAAGTGTTGATCAATTATTATTTCTTAACTGCTATTCATTAACAATGACAAAACTTTAGAGTTACGTTCGTGTACATATTCATAATGTGAATTAATTAATCTTTCGAAAGAACTCTTATATACTTGTTTGCTTCAAAGTACATTGCTGCTGCTCAGACTGCCCAATAACTTTTTAAAAAGAAAAAGTGCCTGAAATGCTTTTTCATCACTTTCGTTTTGTAGACAGAAGCTTTGTAAGGTATCGAATGAGGCTCTTGCTTCCTTAACTGACGCCTCTGCCAAAGGTTCCGATTTATCGTCTAAACGATGATACAAGTTTGAACTTGTCTCAAAATGTACTTACAAATTACAATCTTTCTGTCTCTTTCTGCAACTTTGAACTGTCGAGAGTTTGACGCCAATGAGTTCGAATTAACGGGTCGTTTTGTTACGTAGCAATAATTTTTTCGTTCGAATAACCAAGTGCATAAAAATGATTTAGTTCGAAACATAAAGAGATTTTGTAGGGAACTCTTGATAACTTTGAAACATAGAGAGGTTCGAATTATCGCATGTTTGAATTAACGAGGGTCGACTGTAACAAAGAAGTTACAACATACTGCTAAAAGTAGCCGATATAAACTCGCCACCGTCAATCGGATACTGTAAACGCCTCTTAGTTTAAAGGCCCTCTCTGTTTTTTATGGAACGAGTGTGACAAATGAACACACAGTCCACCTGATGGTAAGTGGATGCTGTGGCCCATAGACATCTACACTTATCTTCGATTTCATTGTCACCCCTGAGGACTAAAATGAAATGCCTCGTTACCAGTTAATAGGTTATCCTTTCTCCTCTTCTACACTCACTATACGAACCACAGCAGCATTGAGCTGCTATTTTACGCTGGTTTTCTGTGAGAGCGTGGCGACCAATTTGTGCTACAACCATAATATAGCAGTAGCTTGACTCTACCACGTAAAAATACTCATTGCCCTTAATTAACCTTAGTTGCCTTTAAGTCCGCTGGATGAAAAATGGTGATTGATTTTATAATGTCGCTACAACACAATACGTTTAAGGCAATGGTATCAGTTTTTATGGAAATTTTGTATCTCAGAATGATAATGTACGTTGTAATGTAGGGCGCGTGTCCGGGTCCGTGTACGTGAAGTACTTCCGTGCGGGCGGCGGCTGGGCGATGTTGGCTTTCACGCTCTTATCCATTTTACTGGCACAGGTTATTACCTCCATCAGCGACCTCTGGCTCACGCATTGGTAACTTTCTACTATTATTACTTTTAATTTATTATTAATTTTTTAATGTTTTTGTCTCCTAAGCATTTGTTTTCTTTATCGAGTGTTCTAGTACCTTCCGATCAAAGAGCATAATGATCTGGATTGAACTTAGTTGCATCTGTACGGTAAATTATACGGCTATTGCTGAACCAAAGATTTCCTTTGGTAGGATTGGTCCTTAAGACCCAAGGATGGATTTCAGAAGTGGAGCCCCGCGATTTTTGATGTTAGTTTTTGAGGTTTTACACAGCTTCTGCTTTGGAAGAAAATAGGGTCTCAATCTGTATAGAGGCATTAATCATGCTACTATTCCAAGTTTGGTACCATATTCGTGTGATTTAAGGATGCTAAATTCATTTTAGGAGTCATATTTGTACGATTAAAATGTTAAACTACATAAAAAAAAAGTAAGTAAAAAGTTATTAAAAAACTCTAAGACTAAAAAATTAAAAACGTTTGGTATGATGATTCCTAGCCCTCGTCCTCCAATACCTCTGGATCCAGTTCTATATCGTCTTCGATGAGTGCTTCGCGGTCTATTACACTGTAATAAAATATAAAACAATGATTACCCAAAAAAGTAGAAACAAACAAGCAAGCAAACTAAAAGCGAAAGTTATTCAAACATAAGAATACCTACCTACCACCTAGAATTATCGCAGTTGCCATTACAGGTCTTGCATAAGAGTGTGCATGGCATTCCTTCTCATCTACAAGAACAACGGCCTCTACAGCTGTTCTTACATCCACATTTTACCAACTCTCGCGCAACATCCCAGGTAGTGTGCATGGTTGTGCATATTGACTGCCATTGTCCTTCCTTTTCAGGCCGTCCCCAGTTTGATGGGGAGGGAATATCGGGTGAGGAGTCAAAAGCTTGTCCCCATATATGACCTGCTTGGTAGGCTACCCTAAGTGCATGCATTTTAGGAGAATCTCTTGTAAGGGGATATTCTGTAAAGCGTTATTCTTTGTGAACAAAAACTTGCGAGCTTCATTCACCGAAACTATTTCACTGTCACCACAGTTAAGCTTGATGACAAACTTTTCCAAGCTAATCAGTATATCATCTGTCAGTTCATTTAACGGATTAGAAAGGGCTTTAAAAGCTGATGTGGCATCAATACACTGCTGCCATGCCATCCAGGTCAGTGTTTTCCGTTTTGAGTAGAGCGCAGAAACGGTGTCAACCTGTAAATGCATGGTACCCTCTCATGACTTCTGCACTCTCTTCACCCAGATGATGTGCCAAAACATGCGCAGCTATATAGCTGTGATGCTTTCCAGTACCAAAAGATATCCACAACTATTTGAGACCCAACCGCTCAAGGGAAAGGAGCACGTCGGAATCAACAGTATGTATTATTATGTTTGCTCTATTCATCACCATGTCCTTGGCATGCAGAATAATGCGGCTATCAGCCTCCTCGCAAGTAACAGTAAGCCCTGTCAACAACGTGTTCGTTGGTACTGATGATTTGATTGTCGGACCGATGTTAGTCACTATATGTATACCGAGATCCCCTGAAGGGCACAGCATCCGAGTAGCTTAAACAGTTCTGAGAATTCTTAAGAAAGTTTGACCAATTGCTTAGCAATTTGTAGTTGTCATGTACTTGACGACGTATTGACCTCTATCATCCCGAACCTGCTTCTTGAGAGACATAACAGAGTAAAGATCCCAGACGATATCAACCCTTCTCGCCTTTATGTTCTCTGTACTTCCCAAGATGCACCGACATAACTCATTGCAGCAGTATTCTTCAAGGGCAGCTCTATCAAAAATATGACTATTACAATTTTCAGGGTACTTACCCTGAAAATTGTATAGTCATATTTACACACACACACACACAATCAAAGTCACAATCAAAGCCTACTTCACTCATGATGTTAAGATATGAGTTAACATTTGACATATTTAGTTTAATGTTTATATTTATGTCCCCAGGAATTACTAGATTGCATATCTCATAATTTTCTAGTTGAAATAAAGATGAGTTCTCTGCTGTTATGTTAACATCTGTAACTACTATGATGTGTATTATTCTTGAGCTGTTGCTTATTATGTATTCAAGTTGGTCAAAGTTTTTTAGCATGGATCTTAGCGTACATAAATAGTTAAACTCAATGGAAGTCTTTTCTATGAATGCATTCCAGCTTTTATATGTACTCGTATAATCATTTATGTGTATGTTTTATATGTAAGTCATTTATAAAACACTAAAATAATAATGTTGCGCGCCTAAGTTGATGTCATGTACCCGGCACTAGCGCCACCTAGTGTCGGGGACGAGAGCGAGGAGGGCTTCCTAGAAAATATTACTTTCGACCAACAGATAAGAAAAAAAAACTCTAAGCCCCACACATTACTTAACTGATTGAAAAAAAAAAAGACTTAAAAGTGAATCAGTTGATTAATTATTAGTGTTTTAAGTTTTAATTGGTATAAAGAATATTAAAGTGTAAATTTTGGTAATTCAATCGGCAGTTTTTACTGTCACGAACCTCAAGCCCGTAACAATTGGTGTCAGAAGTGGGATAAAATCATGCCGATTTTACCTAAGGAGGAAACGGAGGGTGTCCGTACCCGAAGTCAACGCCAGCAGGAGACGGCCAAAGAAGATTTGGTGGTGCAACGCCGCAGACGTCGGAGGGCCAGCCACCGGCTGCAGGCCCCTCAGTAGCTCCTACATCTGCAGCACCTGACTTAGGTGCTCTGATGGTGATGCTGCAGGAGCAGGCACGCCGACAGGACGAGCAGGACCGTCGGTTAAGAGAGCAACAGGAGGAACAGGCTCGCCGACAGGAGGAACAGGCTCGCCAACAGGAGGATCAGGCTCGCCGACAGGAGGAACAGGCCCGTCGACAGGAAGAACAGGACCGTTGGTTGAAAGAGCAGCAGGAGGCACAGGCCCGCCAGCAGGCGGAACAGGCACGCCGATTGGAAGATCAGCTGCGGGGCGGGCAAGAGGAACAGGCCCGTCGGTTGGAAGAGCAGATGCTCCTCATGAAGGACCTTCACGCTAGCTTCGGGAAGGAGATGAAGGAGGTTAAGGATAAGGTTGCTCAACATGACAACCGCCTGTCGGAAGCTGAAACCCGAATCGAGAAATCTGAAACCGGAATCGACCAAGTGAACAATCGGGTAGACAACGTGATGGCTGACGTGAAGAAAACGCTGAACGACCTCAAACTGGGGGATGGAGTCACAGCTCCCGTAGTAGCTACAACACCTTCGCTACGTGGGTTCAATGTGCCGCCGTTCTAAGGGACTTCTTCCTGGTCGGCCTACAAAATCCAGTTCGAGGCTGTCATGAAAGCGAACGGCTGGAATAAAAGTCAGGCCATGACTGCTCTCATGCTAGGCCTGCGTGACCAGGCCTTAACTGTTCTGGAAGCTCTCGGTGAGGAAGTGACTTATGAGCAGCTCCTTGAGGCATTGGAGGCGAGATATGACGACGCTCACCTGGAACACGTCTTTCGTGCGCAGCTTAAAGATCGCGTGCAGCGCATCAACTAAAACCTGCAGCAGTGGGCTCTAGAGGTGGAGAAGCTGGTGCGAAAAGCATACCGGTCTGTACCTGCGCTCATTGAAGGGAACCTGGTGCAGACATTCATCGACGGCATCCGTGACCATGAAGTCAGATCTGCTGTGAGGCTCGGGCGCCACGAGATGCTTAAGAACGCCTTGGCCCATGCACTGTAGGTGGAAGCCGTGCGGCAGAGTCATCATTCCCATCGCGTCAGGGAGGTTGCAGCAGCTACAGTTTGCGACCGCAACAAAGGATACAGCCCTAGGTGCTATGGATGTGGGGAAAAAGGCTATCTTCGATCCAGCTGCCCTCAGCAAACCCTAGAAAGGGAAGGTGAACGATCTCAGAAAGGAAGTGCGGCTAACAGCACTGCCCAGCAGCAGGAGGTATACGACTTTACTATCAGACACTACAGCGGGAAATGGCGAGGCAACACAAATGCATTGTCAAGAAGTCCTTATCTTGATGATGGCGAGAACAGTACGTGAGTAAACAGAACAGTAAGAGAGTAAGGAAGTGGTATCCGTGAGGATGCTCAGGACAGTCCACCTCAGCAACGAATGGAAGGACAGCTTACAACGTGCACAGCAGGAAGATCCGGACATCAAGCCGATTCTGGAATGGATGAAGGCCCGTGCTACCAAGCCCAAGTGGAGCGATGTCTCAGCAATGAGTTCGAACACTAGATGCTATTGGCCTCAATAGGACAGCTTGCTGATTCAGGATGGAGTCCTGTGCCGTAAATGGGACAATGGTCGAGGAGACAGCTGTCGTTTGCAAATGGTTGTCCCTAAAGCTAAAGTGCCGAATGTTCTACAGCTGCACCATAATGGTTGTTCAGGAGTCCATCTGGGAGTTAAACGAACTCTACTGAAGATCCGAGAACAGTTTTACTGGGTCCATTATCGTGACGATGTCGAGGATTGGTGTGGCACATGTACAAGTTGTGCGGCTGTGAAGGGATCTCAGACACGTAGTAGAGGAGCATCGAAATTGTATAATGTTGGTGCACCACGGGATAGGACAGCCTTTGACATTGCGGAGCCGTTTCAGAAAGGCGCAAGAGGAACTCCTAAGATCGTCCACGAGGATCGCCTGGTGCGTTATTATAGGGCCGATAACGCTCGGGACGAGCATGTCTTAGGAGTGGGTAGTGTTGCGCGCCTAAGTTGACGTCATGTTCCCGGCTTCACTAATCATGTACACGGCGAGCGCCATCTAGTGTCGGGGACGAGAGCGAGGAGGGCTTCCTAGAAAATGTCAATTTTGACTTTCGAAAAACAGCGCCATCTAGTATCGAACAGAAGAATTAAGCTTACTGGAAGCCCCACACTCGAACTTTCTAAGTCTGGTCGGTTGGCGCGCGTTTTTACTTGAATATTCCGGACGTTTCTGTGAAAAATGTGTATTTAAAAGCGCTGCAAGACGCGGTCGGGGCAGTATTGAATTTGACGAGACAAGCGAAGCTTCGGAGCGAAATAAAGTGAATCAGTGTGATTAATTATTAGTGTTTTAACTTTTAATTGGTGAAAAGAAAATTAAAGTGTAAATTTTGGTAATTCAATCGGCAGTTTTTATTGTCACGAACCTCAAGCTCGTTAGAATAATTTGACAGTTGTACTTACATATAATTTCGTTTTGTGTTGAATAATTTTACCAATTTTTCTACATCATTGCTAGATCGAATCTGGTGTATTTTATCTGTTTCATGTTTTCTTGCCAATATCACACCATTCTTACACCACACGAGCTTGCAAAGATTTTTTCTTTTCAGTTCCGTTATTGATTTTCACAGCAAATAAGCAGTTGCAGGTGTCAGAGATTCTCTGCGTCGTTATGTAGTTCTGAGCTAGAACTTGAGTCTTCTTTCATGTCAGGGATAATGCATGCGGCATTTTCAATCAACAGAGTCGGTACTATTTAAACGTTAAGTTGTTCATCTGAGATTGCAGCACATTCCCCATGTCTCCACTTGCTGCATTTGTCACACCGGATTCCTGGGAATGTTTGTTAATAATTTTGTTGCATTAAGCATGTAAGATTGTAAATAGTTCAGTGAATCAGTGTGATTAATTATATGTAGTGGATAGGAGTTCCTGCGTCTAATAGGCTTATTAAACGCAGAAAAAATTGTAATTGTCTTATGATAGGATAATATCATAATTTCTTATGATATTATCCTATCATAAGACAATTATTTAACTTACGTTACGTTTCTTTTATAGGGGTACGAAAACTCCATTACATTTGTATTCCATTTACATAATTGATATTGTAAAAAAATAATATGTAAATAATATTATGTGTGAGCAAATTGATAACTTGTTATTTAATTAAATTAATTGTTAATTAGGATGAACGACGTGGATGCGAAATACTTACGATTCGAAGACAAGAATTTCATTACTAATTACACCAGCACCAACGACGAGACAAACGTACTCAAGGAAACAACTGAATCACTTATCGTGGATGATACAACTTCACCGACGACAATGGATCCAAACCTTACCGTCATAGGCACAATGGTTAAAACAGCAATAACTATACAGAATATTACTGTAGGGGAGGAACCATTTGAACATTCTTATTATATCTACATTTGGACGATCGCTATACTTGGATGCATTTTGCTTACAATTGAAAGGTCGGTACCGATTGTTTCTTTTATAAATTTTAAACTTTAAGCACGACTGCAGTGTAAAGATATACTAAACTGTTTAAAATCAAGAATATTTGAGCCAAAACCAATAGCGTTGGTTAGTTGAAGCTCATGAGCTTGTTATTTTCATGGAAAATTAAACAAAGAAATCTGCAAGGAAAAAAATCGGTTCATTAATAAATTTGAATTCTCCTATTTAGCTAAAAGGAGCTGTGAAAATCTTCCTCCTAACAAGGGACATATTATGAAAAGAATTTAGTCAATTTAAAATAATATATTTAAAGAAAATATCTTTACACATATTTTAACAAAATACACAATGAGCAATAATAAGCAAAAGTAATTGGTCCTAACATATGAAATTGGCGTTTTGTACAGGAGGAATATAAAGTTTTTTTTTTTTTGTAAAAATATATTTAATTATCAAAGTATGCACTGTTGTTATCTATGCACTTTTGCCATCTCATAGGTAGTTCATTGATCCCTTTACTAAAAAAACCATGGGGGCGAGAATCAATAAACTCTTTGAAGTCGATTTGGACTGCCGCATCGGAGTTGAATTTTTTTCCTTGTAAGAAATTGCGGAAAAAATGGTAATCTGTTGCAGCAATGTCCGAGAAGTACGGTGGATGTTGCAGGCATTCCAATTGTGGCTCATCTAACTTAGTGGTTGTTTGTTGTGCAGTGTGTGGTCTTGCGTTGTCGTGAAGCAGCAGTGGCCTAGAACGATTGACCAATCTCGGTTGTTTAGCAGCTAGCTCTTCCTTCATGGTTTGTAGTTGCTGACAATAGATATCTGCCGTTATCGTTTGGCCAGATTTTAGAAAGCTGTAGTGAACGACACCGGCGCTAGTCCACCAAACACTCATAAGTTACTTTTTCTGAGTCAATTTTCGTTTAGGGCAGAATTTGGCTGGGTCTGCCATTGCGACGAGTGCTTCCGATTATCGTACAGTATCCACTTTTCATCAGAAGTAATGATTCGATTTAAAATCCCTTCATTGTTGTGTCGGTTGAGCAAAGTAACACAGCAGTCGACGCGTGTTTGCAAGTTCGATTCACTCAATTCGTGAGGTACCCATCGTTCAAGTTTTTTTTTACTCTCCCGGTTTGCTTCAAGTGGATTAATACAGTTTTATCATTTACCCCGAAACCTGCAGCTATCTCTGAAGTGCTTTGAAATGGATCCGCTTTCACAATAGCTTTTAATTTTTCATTTTCCACTTTGATCTCCGGCCTACCACAGGGTTGGTTCTGAAGTTTGAAATTCTAGAACGAAAACGTTGAAACCAAAAACGTACTGTGATTTCTTTTGCGACACCAGCGCCGTACACATCATTAATCCTTCGAGCTGTTTCTGCAGCATTCGTAAATATACCGATATTTCATGTTTTCCATTGTGCGATAATAAGCGACGCCAAAGAAAAAAATAATGAGGAAAAAACAAATGAATGACTGTTTTCAAAACTCAAATGTACCAGCTTAAATTAATTTATAAATTTGAATTTGGAATTCTTAACCAAAGAGGAGATATTTCAGATCAAAGTGGTCAGTACGACAAAACGCTAATTACATATGTAAGGACCCAATACAATAAAATAGGACAGTAGAAATATACTTAACTTCCTAATACGAAAAATAATCAAGGACTGAACGAATTTCTTTGAATTCGGAGTATTTATGAGATAACCGCCAATGTCGCTTTTTTATAATTTAACAATTCTTAACACATCTAAATATTTACAATCAAATTATAAAAATTATTAGCCATTAAAATCATAAAAATCATTTTAAAAACCATTTTCACAGTTTTAACAGTCAATTTGCAGTATAAATATATTTCGGAAAACACTTTGCCCAAAACGGTTTAACACATACAAGTAATCAGATAAAGGAACTAAAATCTTACTTAAACACATTCAAAAATATGAAATACATTTTTAAAATCCAAATAAACATTTTTAAGCTATTTTATTCATTTAATACTATACACATAAAAACATTATAACCGGAAGTAGTAACGAATTAACAATTTTTAAAACATCAAAAGTAATTCAACAATGGATTAAATGCTTACTAATCGTAACTAAAATTTAATTCTAAAATTATCCTTTATCTAGCATCTCTATAAACAACAAGTCCTTAAAAATTGTATGAAATTAGAAGTTAATAACATCATGGTTTCTTGTAGTCAAGTAAACAACTATTTTTATATTTTTAAATAATAAAAATAAATTTGAAGATACTTCTTAAAGACTTAAAATTTAAAAACCAAATTAAATTATGCACATTAATTTATTAAAATAGTGTCACTAACCAGTGGCGAAGCTAGGGCTCCAAACTAGGGCGAGCCCAAGATATCTTGATCTGTCTCCACTATTCAGTTTCATATTCAGTGCTATCGAGGACGTGTTTAACAAAGCACACAGAAGGCATACTACCGCTAGATAGATTGTATAACATATCAGCAATTGCATACTTTCGTTGGCTTTGAAAAAACGCCGTTTCGGGTTGCTTGAGCGAAAGAAAAAGATATTTACATACAATACAATACATGAACAAAAGAAAAGCATCAACAAAGTAGAAACAAACTATGTACAAAATTAAAAGAAAATTATTTATATTCTAAATCGAATTTTCTGTCTCTCTTTCTTAAAGAAAGATTTTATTACGTCCGCGTAAAATGTTGGTAAACGTTTTAATTGTACCAATAACTGTTTTTCAATTGCGATAATTGATAAGCCTGAAAGACGTTCTTGACCTTGTGTATTTTCTCGACAAAGTTTAAATACTTTACCTTTTCCTCGCCGATTAGCACTTTAACACATTTCATTTCATCACAAGTAACACTATTATCCTCCATTTTCACTAAAATCTTTAAAAAAGCATAAATTTGCAACTCGCAATATTTATTAATTTTTATTATTAATATTTAGTAAACAAACAGAGTAAAGAGTAAACATTGAAATGTGAAGTAAACTTGCAAACATATCGCCCGCGCACAACTTCACGCTATAAAGCCCGGCTTTTTGCTTCATACTAATAGCTAGATAAACATTTCGTAGTTATATTTCATTGTAGAACATTTTGCCACAGGTTAGAAATGGAGTAATAGTCTTCTCGAAAGCCCGATAAAAAGCCCACGCGTGTGAAAGAGACGACTAATGGCTCAAATAAAATTCTTGATATTATTCATTTTGATAGTCCATTGGGTGTTCGCTTTGAGGCAGAGAGAACATAAATTAGTTATTTCAAATTGAAAGCAAACTGCCAAGTGTTGACGTTACATATATACTAATAGTTCATGACCTGTGTGGAACAGAGAAGCGCGCGGAAAATTTCAAATAGTTTGAAACAGTTTACGAGTTATTTTATTAATTGATATTATTGATTGAGCAGTTTATACATATATAAGGCAAGCCCGGCTTTTCAGCTTCATGGAAGCTTCACTACTGTCACTAACCCAGTGTGATTTAAAACTTGATTAAATTATTCCAAATAAGCGTTAGCTATTGAGACATAATAGTGTTACAAATGCACTTACAAACAAATCCACTCACCCGTCCTCCGGCCGGCGAAAGCTTCCCTCACTCCTTCCATGTAGATTGTTCGTTTCGGTGAAAAAGTGGAGCTCACTAGCTCTTTTTCTGCGTTTATTATATTATAATAAAAAATATGTCGCTCGGGACAGCCGCGGGCCATAAACAAAAATATGATGTTGTGTAATCAATATGATGCCAAAATTATCATAATTTATACTAGAGGTACATGTCTATATACCAAAAATCCCTTTATTTGGATTGTGGTGCTTGTTTATTGTCATCTTTCCTTTTAGGCACTCACGTAGTTTAATTTATAGAATGTGAAAAACTCGTATTAATTCACGCATTTAAAATATTAATTTGGGTGTTTTCACCCATGAGATCATTCATTACATTTCCCATTAAATTAATCAATTAAATTCTACACAAACTGTTGTGTTGCGAATGACTTACATAGCGTTTCCAAATGGTCCGTCAGCCCCCGTTTGAGGTTCCCTATCCTATCTGGACTAGACTGGATAGTGGCTAATATTTTTGATACTATATTGTATTTGAAATTAAGTAATTTTATTTTTCATAATATTGCATAATTTTTTCAGATCTTTGTTGTTTCTTTGGATATGCATGCGCAGTTCTATTAAGTTGCACAATTTAATGTTCAGTAACATTCTTGCGGCCACAATGCGCTTCTTTGACACTAACCCTTCAGGACGCATTCTAAACAGATTTTCCAAGGACATGGGCACTGTTGATGAGATGCTACCGAGAATGATCTTGGACAGTTTGCAGGTAATGTTATAAAGCTCAATCATGATTTTAGTATTCAATCAAACTAATTTTAACGAATTTAATCGTGTTATTTTCTAATCTCGACGTTTCAAGTACAGTTTCCAGTACATTACCTGCGAGTATAATGTTAATTTAGTGATATTGTGTTTTAGGTGTTTATGGTTATGCTGGGAATTTTGGTAATGGTGGCTATAGTGAACCCGTACATGTTGCTTACGACTGCTGTCTGCGGTGTGTTCATGTACATGTGGACTATGGTCTATCTCAGCACAGCGCAAGCCATTAAGAGGTAAGTCCTTTATATCATATTTCACATGTCATTCAAATAAACAAAATAAGGGAAAGCTCGAAAGCTGCACAACTCCACCACTCATAATAAAAGGGTTACACTAGTTAAATAGGGATAGATTAGAGTTGTAAGTATAAAAAGGGTAGGCTTCAAATATTTTTTATTTAGAAATACTATTTTAACGGTATAATTGCAGAAATTATCATTGACGTTGATATCTCTTGTAAATGAAGAAAAATATAAATGAATAATCAACATTGATAATTCTTACTTATAAAAACTTACTCCGTCTGGATTTATAGTCTGGTTTATGACTGATAGATGACTGACTAAATAATTGCAACGGTGATAAGCAGCTTGGGTATGTGTCATATTTCATTCATCACTCGTTTATCATTCGTTTGACCTGTTTTATTGTATGTAATTGATTGATTTATTCTGAATACATACCAAAGACCGGACCAACGACGAAGACAGAGTGATCCAATAAGAATACCATTTTTGTCTTCAATCACGGCACCCTAAAATTATTTCAAACATAGAACTGTATTAATTAAAAACTGCGTAAAAATACATGAAATCCAATCTAACATTCCAAGACAATCCGATGTTATCGAAGTGACAAAGTCAAGATTATATTTGTTTAATTGGATTGATAGTCACCGATTGCATAATAACGAATTTACTGGTTTTTTTTATAGAAGAGAAGATTGAAGTTGTGTCTAGTTACCAGGTTTTTTATATAAGTGGGGAAAAACGAGCATTCGGCTCAGCTGATGGTAAGTGACTACCGTCGCCGATAAACAATTGCAACATCTGCGTTTTTACAGATTTTTTGCGTGTTAACAGATTTGCGTTGCCGGTCTTTTAAAAATTAATAGGCTCTTTTCTTGAAGATCTCTTAGTCCTATCAGTCCGGAAAAATGCTGGTGGGTTGTCAATTCCACAAAGAAGTCCCCAATCATACGGATGGTATATATAGTAGCACGAGTTTTGTCGCGATGTTCGATGATGAAATTCATCGGCTGGAATTAGTTCTAAAAATTCTAGAAAGCACTCCGAGCTGACACTGAGGTGTCCCGGCCCAGATATGAGAACAATGTAAAGTTAAAGCGAGCGGTGTGCCGGCATGAAATACTATACTACAAAGCATGCTAAGCTTTTAAGAGACCAATTTGGTCTTCCCTTCTAAGTGATCGCGGAACTGTACGTCATTCGATATTCTGAGACAAAAAGAAAGTGCCCTGAAACTGAGGAGATACTACAAAGGGATTCTTGTTAGTGGCAAACGCGCATGCTTGTTTCTACTGGGGATTTAATTGGACTAGACTAGTCGATCCCACTCCAAGACTTAGATCAACAAAAACTCGACTTCAGATACATGTTTGTTCCGGTACTCGACGACGTGTTTCAGAGAAATATTCACATCAAAATAGAGACAAACGAAATCAGAGATGTCATTAAGTTAGTAAGTACCTCTGTTAGAAAAAATGTCTACCAAGGACATACACAGCGACTTGGTGGAAACATTGGGGGAATCTGCGTCTTGATAGTCCACAGTTGCTGGACCAAGGAATTTAAGCTAGGCAGAACATCCACGGAAGATGAGCATCGCTTGGGGTGCCCACATCAACATCACATAAGGTGAAAAAAGTCAAAAATATCGTATTTACAGATTGAAGAGTGACCATCAAGCATATAGCTAAGGTCACAGGGATCTCATATGGCAATGTTCGAAGAATTCTTGCGAATGAATTGTATATGAAAAAGTTCTCTGCGTTGGGTACCGATAATGTTAACCGACTAGCAAAAGAAATTTTTTGTCACGTTTTGTGACCATGGTCGTTGGTCGCGACCAAGATCCACCATTTTGATCCTGAAACCAAACAACAATAAATGGTTTGGAAACGAACCTCTTCACCGACGCCGAAGAAATTTAGTGTCAAATTCGGCGGGAAAGGTTATAACGTCCGTTATTTGGGACGCTGAAAAAATAATTATGGTGCAATATTAGAAAAAGAGAGCCACTATTTCGGATTCTTACTATTCAGGCCAAATAACAAGTTTGCGGGAGGCTATTGAGGAAAAAAGACGCAAACTGCGAGCTGGATTGCTGTTTCACCAAGACAAGGCTCCGGCTCACAGAGCTGCAGTTGCGATGGCTGCCATTCAAGAGACGGGATTTGAACTGCTCAAACACTATGGATGCTGTTGAGGCTTTTTTGGAGGGTCAAGATAAAGATTTTTTTCTAAAGGAATTCTGGGTTAAGAAAGAAGATAATATAAAGACTAAATGCATTAACTTGTTAATAATATATGTAGAATCTTTTTGACTATAATCACCATATTTTGATTGCCATATATACTTTTTGATCATCTCTCTTATAAGGCATTGTCCGTAATGCCATCTGGATAAAAATGAATGTTACCTGTTGCAAATATATCGTTTATATGCAGAAGAAACATGGTAGGCAACAGCATGCAGTCTTTTGAACACCAATTTTCACAGGCTTGGAGTCTAAGCATTCACCGTCAATTATGACCTTAATGCTCCGATCTCAGAGCCAACTCGTGATCTATAGTCAACCAAATCTAAGAAATACATTTTGACAACTGTTAGAGACTTATTGCACCAAGCATGCCAGCCAAAAAATTAGATCGTACAATATTCGATTCTTAAAAAAATCGATATTGATTGTTTAGACTTGGTAATCATTTACGGTTTGGTTTGAATAATACCAGAATAAATTAAAAACAGATTATTCAAAATACAAGATTTATTAGTTTCTTCGTATTTTGTTGTTACTGCTTATTTCTAGAGTCACAATTATAAAAATTCAAGCCGAACTTGCGCCTAGTAAAGTTTCGAGCGGTGTGCCAGCATGAAATATCGTCCCGCTCTGCTGAGCACACCAAGTTTTTAGAGGCCAATTTGGCCTTCTTTTCAAAGTGACCACGAAACTGCACGGCACTCGATATGTCGACGCCGAGGATTCCGATACGGGCTGAGGCAACAAGGAAGGAAGGAAGGAGTGCCTTGAAACTGAGGAGATACGACGAAGGGATTTTTTTAGCGGTAAACGTGCAAACTTGTGTCTTTTGGGGATTAAACTGGACTAGATTTAATCGCGACCAGTCTGAGACTTTGTTCGTATAAAGCATCACCAGTGCTGTCGTCCGCATAGCAATGAATGTTACCGGTTTGCAACATGTTGATGATATGCAGAAGAAACAGCTTTGCTGATAGCACGCACTGTCTACTGCGACCTTGATGCTCCGATCTGCAAGAAAACTGGTGATTCAATTGCATAATTTCTCGGGAAGCCCATAGGAAGGAAGCTTCGTAAGAAGCGCTTTGTGTCAAACCCGATCGAAGGCCTTCGGTATGTCCAAACTAACGGCCAACGCCTCGCCCGCGGACTCTACTGCCTCTGCTCATTTATGAGTTAGGTAACCCAGAAAATCACTAGCCGAGCGACCGGGACAGAAACCGTACACGCGGTCACTAATCAGCTGGTGATTTTTAAGGTACCGCTAGAGCTGGCTGTTAATAACGGATTCGATTATTTTAGAGAACAAGGAGGTGATGGCGATAGGCCTATATAGTTCGACCGATCAGAGCGGTTACCTTTTTTAGGGATCGGGTGCACGTAAGCTGTCTTCCATGATTTTTGGGATTGCGCCTAAGGAGTAGGAGTACCGGAAAAGATGCGTTAAAATTGGTGCCAACTCTGGAGCACAAGTTTTCAGTACAAAAGGAGGACTGCCATCAGGCCCACTCGGCTTGTTGGCGTCCAGGAAGAAGAGTGCTCTGCGCACCGAGCGTTAGGTAAACAACACACCATGCATGAAGCACTCACACTGTGGGATGGTCGGCGGTGTGTTCCCCCGTCATCAAGAGTCGAGTTGGAAGCAAAGAGAGAGCCCAGCAGGCTTTGTCCTTTGCGGTATGGGCCAGTGAATCGTCCTCCCTGTGCAGAGATGGGAGAGATGGATGACAGAAGTTTCCTTGGACAGCCTCGGCGAGAGACCAGAATGCACGTGTTCCCGAAAGAAAACGAACTAGTTTCTCGCCAGTTCTGCCGATGTGCTCTGACTTTACCTTGACAATGACGCTTTTGAAGGGCCTGGAAAAAAAAAAATAATATATATATATATATATATATATATATATATATATATATATATATATATATTATTTTTTATTTTCCAGGATAAATAATAGTACTACGTACAGAAGTTGCACTCCTTTGATTTTGACTGCTTGCCGACGTTTAATAGTCTACATTATTATTATTATTAATTAGATAAATCGCGCACGCAAGCTAAATAAAACTTTATCGCTGCGTGCGAGTGTCCATATTACTTTGCATCTTTACACCTTCGTAAGACATGGCGGACTTTCCATGGTTGCCTAAGTGATGTCAATAAAAAGTAAAAAATACATTGCGAAATGTTAATTTACTTAGGTGAAGTACCTATTCTGACTATGATCGACTGACCATATTTACGCACCTATATGAGTTCTGCGATGCCCAACGTATGCAACTTGCAAGGCCATTCGTCAGGAATCGCGATGCTAGGCTCGGAAGGAACAATAAATAAACCTCGAATACGATTCCTAACAGAAATGCGATCGTATTCTACTAAGTTAAAATCTTGTTAGTAAACAAAGTTTTAATTTCAGTAATTTGTGTTATTATAACTTAGAATATTTTAATTACAAAAGACAAGTATAGGTACGTAAATAGATACTTAGATAGTAAAGTAAATTTCAACTAAGTTTTGTAATAAAGTACGTAGGTACTTCTCCAACTCCGGCCCGAGGCACAAAGGAGTGTTATAATTTGTACGTCGGGTCGGAGAGATAGGATGTATCACCTGGGTCTCAGTTAGAGCAAAGCCTGCTTCGCCGTTTCCAAATGGTAGTGGACGCCGTGTTAAGGTTTGAATGAAGTCCCCTAATGTTGCATAAATTCGCGAATAGCGTGGCAGGGGGTGCTT